TCTGTTATACATATTTTTTCAATTTCTCGAAAATAGGATTAAAATATTGAAATATTCCCCTAGAGGATGGTACACTTGCAGCACTTTGCACTCACTGACACGGTCCATGAACCACTGAGTTTTATATCCTTTAACGATACCCCAGAAATCTTTAGTGAGAAATCTGGATTCTCCCGTGGAGTGGCAGACCCCACGCTGCTATAGGGCGTGGTTTCTGTGAGTGGGTGGGAGCAAGGCCGCTTGTAAGTTTTCAAACTGCCCAAAGTGGAATCCAGGAAATAACCTTGGAAGAGGAAAATGACGTTAGGACGCGTCTCCTGGGAAAAATAACGGGCTGCTGTATTTTTGCTTCAGATTCATATAAACCGGCACATATATTTATCTTAAATATTTTTGATACGATTTAGACGGATAGATTCTTATAATCATTACAGCTTATATGACTGGGTCGCTTCAAACAATCTTATAAATCTGATATAATGTGTCAGAGCACAAAGCCGCGCGTATGCTTCATCCAGAGCGCCCGCCCCGCAAGGCGATAGTGGGAGACTGATTATAGTCTCCAGGATTTTCTGTGGAAAAAGCCAGAGAAGGAGCTGCTCTCCGATCAGTGCAGACCAATTATTCCAGGCTGATTTCGCATCCTCAGAGCTCTCAGAACCTGTTTATTTTTTATTTATTTTGGATCAGATCCAAAAGACTCGTCCGGATCCAAAATACGCACGAGCCCCGCCGGACTTGATCTTTTTATTTATTCTAAGGAGGGTGCTTGTGTGCGTTAGTGTTGGTTGGTGGTGGGTGGGGGGGGAGTCGCCTCCGCAGTAGTAAGCGGGGGAGTGGGTTGGGTCGGCTTGGAGCCAGCCACACGCACTCATCGTCAGCGATGAAAAGCGTCTAGGTGAGGGTGAAGCCGCGTCACTGGAAGCTTGCGCGCTATTGGAGGCACAAAGTCGCGCACCGGACTCACCAAGCTCTGGATTATAGACTCTCCAGTCCAGATTACCTCCAAAAGGTTCTTCAAGGATCCGTACACGTTTCTTCATCTTTCTGATGCACTACCAGCTCCACTGCCTAGGCTGCCCAGACCATTGCATACTCATCTAAAAGAAAAGGGGGGGCGCATTGGTGGTGATTCCGCGGAGCAACACATACAATGGCAACGGGTGCCCTCCTGCTTGTCTTTGCGCTGCTTGGTGAGTGTGATCGCTGAAGAAAAGCATAAAAAAACTCTGATGTTGTGTCTAATCTCTTGTTCTCATCAAGGCTACAACACCTGTATGAGACATGATCATTGGAGACAGTAGTGATGATGAGTCAGGTGGAAGCAGAGACTATGATCACCGCATTAATAACAGATGTCTCAGAACAGCTGTGTCTGTGGATGAACTAGGTTAATGTCATGGGGACCTCAGTCACAGATTAAGCTGATGTGTGATTTGACCCTTTAAAAGGCTGATCATTTATTTAGAAAGGCTATTGTTTTTTTTTTCAAGATACACTTCATTGATACACCTGGTGAAACGTCATACCCTGATTGGTGAAATCACTGTGGGTGGGAGCCAACAGCTGTAGGAACTACTCCTTGCAAATACTTTTTTTTTCTTTAGAAACCTCACTTTTAACTTTATTTTATTGGAAACTACCATATATATTCAGTGTGAATCCAGTCCTCCTGCTGGAAGATTTTAGCTGCACCATCATGCTATGGAGAGCAAAGCTGGTCACTTTGAGTGGGGTGATGAATAGAGGTAAATAGAGTTAGATCTCAGTGGGAAAAACAAAAAAAAACAACTGTTTGGGGGCTGCAGAAGGCTTTATACTGTGGCTGATCTTCATTTTTCAGCAGCATGACAACACTTCACATACAACCAAGCTACAGTTTAGTTGTTTACGTCATGATTTGTCAAAGGATGTTCGAAAGGATTATCTAGTTAAAGGATCCTAAATCTAAGGGAGAATATGTGTTGGAACTTGAAAGTTTATGTTCACACAAGTTCTTCAAATCTGATTAAGCTTGAGCTGTTTTGGAAAAAAGAGATAGTATTAAAATGGCAGCAGTAGTATCATTATGAGGGATTCTTAAGCAGAAATGGGAAGAGTTGATGGGAGGATGGGTGGTATATGTACTGGATGTTCCTGAAAGAAAGTTTTGAGGCTTTTAAAGACATACGCCAACCCTGAATATACAGCCAGGGTGTGTTTTAGATCAAATCATATTAAATGGTTCAGTCACAGTCTTAGAATCTGAGTTTAAACTTGACAAAGGGTTTTGACACATTTTCACCACCCCAACTGA